ACCCTAAACCCTAAACCCTAACCCCTAAACCCTAACCCCTAAACCCTAAACCCTAAACCCTAAACCCTAGACCCTAAACCCTAAACCCTACCTTTGCCTTGAGTAGTACGCAGTATCCGTATATGCAGGAGAGGTTGAGGGGCCCGAAGTCAAGAACAAAGGGCTCATATACAAAGAGTTCATCTGTAGAGAAGAAGTGAACTGCTGCTGTATCGACAGGAGCAGCATAAACACGCCGAAAGTACAGCCGACCCTGCAGCACCTCTATCGTCTCTCGCAGCATACGCCGCTCACCCACAGACAGCATTGCATGCGTCATCGTCTCAGCAGCAGCAGCAGCAGCAGCAACAGCAGCAGCAGCAGCAGCAGCTATGTTGCATTGAGTTGCAGCAAATGCAGGTGTAGTATCACCCGCTGCAACTCAAACCAAGAAGAGATGCGAGAGAGAGAGGAGAAACGGTGAATAAAAAAGACAAAAAAAAAAAACTATGTCGATACTTATAGTTACATATATATTATATATATATATATATATATATATATATATATATATATATATATATATATATATATATANAAAAAAAAAAAAAAAAAAAAAACAAAGGCTGCATCACTCAGCCGCGGGCGTCGCCGCGCAGGCAGAGAAAGTGAAAAGGCGGAGAAGAAACAAAAAAGATGAAATTGAACAAAGAGTAATGCTGGATATCCCCATGCCCAGAGCAGAAACCTGCGTATACACCCCAGCACCGCCTGAAACGTCCGGGGGTTGCTGAGGCTATCGAGGTGTATGCATGCGCCTCTTCACCGCCACAACAAAAAGAAAAGCTGCACGGAAACCTCGTGCAGGGGCCCTCTTTAAACGCTGCAGAAGGAACAGAAAGTTCAGTTGAAAGCACCTCTCGGAGAGGAGAGCAGCCCGCCGAGGCTGTTGGCCGATGAGGCGGAGATGCGGCGGAAACTCGGCGTGTGGCGGGGTGTATATACACCGCAGAGTTTGAATTTTTGATGAAGAACTGGGCCGTTGAGCTGCAGTGGCTCCATGGGCTGTGGGTTGCCTGCGTTTATATTATATTGTTTTGTTCACTGTCTGTTGGGTGTGGTGCACTGCTTCAGGCCTCCGTGGCGGTCCGATGGGAGCTGCAGATACACCGCAGGAAACCCCCACCTGTATATGGAGTTACTTCCACCCTCTCTGCCACAAACTGTCGAAAAAGTGTATGTCTGTTTGCCTTGGCCCGGCCGAGGTGTAGCGGCAAGGCTTCTGCGGCGCTGCGGAGCAGGAACGAGACGGTTCCCTCTGAACCAGCAGTGTGAACAAAAAAAGCAAATTCAGCTCAAATGAACTGAGAAAAAAATGTAACACACGCTTCACCGAGTGCCTTGAGGTGTATGGTCAGCTCCGCAGCAAGCCTGATGGAGGCAGCCCCGCTCCCGCAAGACGATGAGCAGCGGTGGCTGGTGAGCGGTATGCGTTGTGCTTCGATTCGTCGATAAAAAGTAAAATATAAGTCTCTGAGTTGAAGGAATATAAATTTCTTTATAAAGAACAAAAGATCAGAGGTTTTATCCCAAAGATTACCGTGAAAACGAGAGGTTTCTCTCTCCTCGATCGCGACACCTCGTGCACTGCGTCGCGACGGCCGCCCTTCCTCTTTTGCAGGTTTCCGGTGTTTTTTATTTGTTGAATGCATTCAAGTATAATTTCAGAAAGAGAAAAGTCTAGAAGAGAACCTTTTAAAAAGAAGAATCCACCGTCTCAGCTCCAGACGACACAGCAAGCCGCTGCTACCGCCCGGTTCCGTGCACTTGTTTTCTTATGGGGTAGAGAGAGCTGCCCACTGGTCAAGCAGAGGAATAAAGACAAAAACAAAAGACGTATTCAATGCGAACAGAAGCAAACAAAATTCACTAGAAAGTTCCTTTATGCTAGGAACTCACTGCAGCCTGCCTTGCCGTTGCCAGCTGTGTCGAGGGTGAGGGAGGACGCGAGCAGCTGTACAGTTGAACTGCAACTAGAACCGGGTAGAAGGAAACAAATTTTAGTTTTTGTTTAGTTTATTCTGCACTTTTATTTGTAAAGAGGTTACATTCGCAACAAGTTGAACAAATAGCTACAAGGCCACCGCCGATGCGCTGTGCAGAGCAGAGAGAGGAGGGTATTCATGTACACTGTAGGCTCAGAGTAGTAGTTTGAATTTCCTTATATAGAACACGTTAAACTTTCGTTTTATTTAAGCCAGTTATATTTTTACTTAATTTAAACAAATTAAACAATTAAAGAGAAGTGTTGGCCGCTTGTATATTAAGGCATTCTACACCACTCGCGAGGACTTGTAGGCAGCGCTGAACATGAACTGGGTTTCTGTGTAGGTGTTTAGTTGTTTCGTGTTTATGCATACAGCAAGTATATCTAAATAAAAGTGTTTTAATTTATATTTTTTAAAACGAACCCTTCCCAGGGTTCAATACACATCAAGCAGAGGAAGCTGTTTTCTGTTTCCTCAGCTTCTCTATACATCTGTCGGTTGCACTTGTATGATGCCGTAGTTATTTGTATTTCTTTAATACTGATATTTATTGCGTTGTAGCTGTGTTCAGCGTGTAAAGCCAATATTTTTATTATGAAAGTATGCGTTGAATCTACCTGGCGTGTTTTGTGCGTTGATGGGGTGAACTCTGCACTGCAGAGCCAGATATTTGTGTGTAAGCAGTTCAGAGCATACACATTCTATATTATTCATGAAGGAGCTTGTGCTCGAGAGTTTATGTATTAGAATTACGCTATGTTTAGGACTAGGGTTTAGCGTTGGAGGGTCCTACGCAACGATTCCAGTTTGTAAGCTATTGAATTGAATTTTTTGTCAGTTGTTGAATTGCGTCTGCTGAAATATTTGTTTTCTATTTTTTTTCTGAGAGTTTAAGCGGTGTACCTACGCCCGCGACATGCAGTGCGAGGGGTACGCACAGCAGGCGACTGGCTCCAGCAGTGCAGAAGAACTGGGAGAGGTGAGGCCCCCCTAGCTGCATGAATCCCTGTATGCACTTAGACTTGAATGCGTGCATGCGTGCATGCATGCATGCGCGAATGCATGCACGCGTGCATGCATGCATGCATGCATGCGTTTAGTGGCTTGCCGAGGAGAAGAGAAACAAAAGAAACTAAGAAAGCTGCAGCATAACCCAGTTCATTCCCGAGACGCCTTGCGAACGCAGATCCTGAGGACAATCCAACGTGGGGCCCCCATGCATCTCGAGGGTTGCTGCAGCNCGCCTTGCGAACGCAGATCCTGAGGACAATCCAACGTGGGGCCCCCATGCATCTCGAGGGT